GATGATGGCGTGTTTTCAGACTATTGTATCAGGACTTGGCCAGGAGCGATGCGCAGCACACATGCAGCCAACTGATGCATATCCACAGTTCGACGCACAGGACAAGGGCTAGACGAGAAAATAGTGAAATCTTCAACTACGACAACGCTTCGATCCAACAACTACCAAGCCATGCATGTACCAACAAAACAAGAACTGTTAGTCCTCGAGCACATATGTGTTAATTAGGGACAGTTCAAAGGCATTATCCTCTTGTCACGAGCTAGCCTGCTAAGTGCCACCGTAATGTGATATAGCATCGGCGCTCGGTAGGCTTTCAGCTAGGGTTATGTGTATTTTTCGGCGCTAGATTAGTAGATTACCCAGTGGCCATGTGGCCAAGGAGGATATATATCTCCACAATCCACGCATCCCAAAACCAATCATGGTGCATTGCCATTACAAGTGCACACATATATAGCTAAAACTGCGTCTGTCGTCACCCACTTGCCATGTTCGAGACGGCGCGCTAGCAAGCTCAGCTCCTGTCAAGATCCTTTTGGTTAATGGCCCTAGCCTTTGGCTTGATCGGCTCTTGGGAGTCCCCGTCCATGCCATGCGTTGAACAAATCAAAGGTTGGCGTTAAATAAAGCCTAGGCTTGGTAGGCAAGATTGCTTTTAGTCCTTGTATGACGCTCCCTGTTTTGTCTCAAAACATGTGATAGGCCCAAGGAAACCATTTGGCGCCCGGCCGAAATCCAGGCCATGGACGGCATTAGGTGAGATCTGAGTTTAAGAAAAATGTATAGCTGCCTGAATCCATCGGCGTCTTTGCGTCAGCATGAGCAGGAAAACCGTGTCGCTGCCGGTGCAAAATGTGCACGCATGCATGTCAAGCTAAAATGCACCACTTAAAAAAGGGGGAAATGCACCACTTCTATTTCAGACAAGGAACATAAAACACTGGGAAGCGCTTCACGGATAAGGTGGTCAAGCTATATATCCAGTCCTCCAGACATGGAATTCTTTAAGGGCAACACCGAACCTTTTGCTTTTGTTATCTATCTCCTTTATGGTCAGTGGCCGCCATGCTCATACAATACGGGAGGATGTGCCCAAGAAGAAAAGTGCAGCGAAGGACATAAAGGCTCCAAGGAGTGCCCTACTCATGCTTTCTTGTGCCCTAAAGTTCCAAAGGAAGCAACTGCCTTTTCTCTCTCTCTCACTTGCACTAAGCACAACCAAATATTATTATTTTTTTAAAACGGAGACAAAAGTTTTGCCTCATCAATTAATTAAGAAGAAGAGAATTGCCCAGTTAATTAACGGAAAACCGGGCGAAAACCAATACAAACGAAGGACGGAAAAACTACTCACATGGCAAAAAAACCACAATCGCACATGTGCCCGTCGCCAGACTCTCCGATTACGCAACATCCACAAACCTCGACATTGCCACTATGCCATGTGACCCCGACAAGAACACCTCGACATAAGACATCAAACACCTTCCAACCCACAACGATGACCCAATCCAAGAGGACGGCTGAGAGACTGAAGATTGTCCATCAAGCAGCCAGAGACGCCTTGCCTATGGCGCCACTCTTGCCTTTTCCCACCTTCTTTTGTTTGCCTCTTATTGGCGTCCCCGTCAGAAGGCAAGCTATCGACCTACCCAAACCAGGTTTAGCCACCTCCACACTGGCGAGCAAGTCACAAAGTTCTTTTGCGAACAGAGCATCTGGATTTGAAGTATGTGCAACCACACTTGGCTCAGTGGACATGTCACTCACAGGCATCACATGCTCGATGGTCGCAGACAACAGAATGGCAGAGACTGCAACGTCCAAATCACCACACCCCTTGGCATCAGGTATCTGGCTAGACTCCAAGGGTGATGATGGC